GTCCCCACGCAGCCTACGAAGGCTGGGCGTGCCACTACGCCGCGGGAGACATGCTAGTGCCTCAGGTGGAAGACCTAGTGGCCAACATTTACAAGGACGTCCAGGACCGCGTCTTTTACTTCAGCCCCATGGACATGACGACCGCCACGGAGAACATGGAGTTTCACCCGGATGTACAGTGGCATATATACGCCGCCATGATGTCTATTATGTGTGGAAGATGATGATTGGTCCGTTTTGTTTGTGATGTGTCTGCTCATTGGTTAGTTTATAAATACATTGTGTACTGTTATGTCGCAGCTATGACGTATATTAATTATGTATGGAAGATGACGATTGGTCCGTTTTGTTTGTGATGTGTATACTCATTGGTTGATGTATAAATATCCTTATGTCGCCGCCATGACGTCTAGTATGTGTGGAAGACGATGATTGGTCCGTTTTCTTAGTGATGTGTATACTCATTGACTAATTTATAAATTATCACTATGTCGCTGCCATGCTTGATGTCTATTAGTTGTGGTAGACGATGATTGGTCTGTTTTCTTTGTGATACGTCAGCTCATTGGTTGATTTATAAAGTGTTGTCGCCGCCATTGGGCTGATTCTTTTGTGATGATGTTACTCATTGGTTAATTTATGAAGTGTTGTCATCGGTAGAACAATATTGCCCTTTATGTGTGATGCATGTTGATTGGTTCGTTTTTGTTTTTGATGCGTCTACTCATTGGCTGTTTTATAAAGGAATGTCGTTATTATGTTTGATGTAATTACGTTCGTCATTGGTTAATTTATTAAATGTCGTCGGTGACACATTGTCTATCATCATCATGTGTGGTAGATGATGGTTGGTCTTTAGAAATTTTTATTATGATGTTGCTCATTTGTTAATTTATGAACTGCTGAAGTGGGTGGTTGGCGGGTGCTCTGGAGTGGTTTGCTCCTTCTTTCCTATCAAACGTCTATCGTCCTTTTTCTTTTTTATGTTTGTTACTCTCTTGTAACACCTCTAATCATCTGGCGCTCAAATGACCTTAAGCAGTTGCGAGTGCCGTAAAACCTCTACTAAAACTAAACGAACTGCTGATGTGGTTATATTTTGTTCTTCAAGTGTTGCAAATGATGATTAGTCCATTTTGTATATGACGGGTCTGCTTATTGGATGTTTATGAAGTTGTTGAAATTGTCGTAGTATTGCTTTTTATGTGTCGCAGATGATGATTGGTCCATTTGTTTGTGACGGGTATGCTCATTGGTTAATTTATGAAGTGTTGTCATTGATATATTGTCAGTTATGTGTGGTAGATGAAGAGATTGGTCCATTTGTTTGTGATGCTGCTCATTAGTTAATTTAGGAATTGTTAAAT